ACTGGGCCTCTGATGCTGAGAGCATGGTCCAGGATACAACATTCTCGCGAAGCAAGCGGGCAGACAGCGCAGAACAGCATGTGGCTGGGTAGGAATGGAGACACGTTCCTGCTTCCACAGGCCATTTTGAGGACAGGACGGATGAGCCTCTGCATCTGCCCCACCCCTTGTGTGTGTGTATGTAGTTTAAACAGACAATCACACGTGGCAAGTCAAGTGCTATGATGGAGCCTGGGATGGGCCTGACTTAGGCTAGTGGTGTTTGGGTGGGCGGACCGCAGAGCATACAGCCCAGCTTCCTCCCTGTCCCCTCTGCTCCTCCCCAGAAAATCCGTCTGTTTCAGGCAGGGTTCTCCACAGACATGGATCCAACAGGAGATAAAGATATAGGGAGAGATTTATAGCTATATTTTTATTTATTTATTTTTACTTATTTTAAGGAATTGGTTCCCGCGATTGTGAGGGTTGGCAAGTCTGAAATGTAGAAGGCAGACTGGCAAGCTGGAAACTCAGGCAAGAGTTGAGGTTGCGGTCTTGTATCCGAAATTCTTAGGGCAGGCCAGTGGCCTGGAAACTTGGACAGAATGTCTATGCTACAGTCTTGAAACAAAATTCTTTCTTCTCTGGGAAACCTCAGTGTTTGCTCTTAAGGCCTTCAACTGATTGGATGAGGCCCACTCACATTATGGAGGATCATCTCCTTTACGTAATACCTTCCCTGCAACATCTAGACTAGCACTTGATCAGACACTGGGCACCACCCCACAGCTGAGTAGACATACAAAATTCACCACCACACCCCCATCTCACCCCTCTGAGTAGCTTTCACTGATTGCCACACCTGCATTTCAAGGCAGTTCTACTTGGACTCCCTGTCATCACCTCAAGAGCGACACATTTTTGTCTGAGCTCATTTGATGCAGCCCCAACAAGCCTTCTTATCATCTAAGCCGCAGCAGTGTTCTCCCAGGCAGACGCTCAGAGCCCTTTGCTCCCTCCCCATGCCCCTCCCTGCACCCTTCCGCACACCCATCCCTGGCATCTGTTGGTCTTAGAGTCTGGAGTGGCCTCCTCCCTCATCCAGTGCTCCGATTTCTGTTGCCAGTGCACGATCCAGGACCACCCCTCACACCGTACCGTTGTGACATCCCCCATGGCATCTCCCAACTCTGGTCCTGTGGCTTTGCCCCCCATCACTTGCACGCTGGCATCACACTGATCCACGCAGACCCCGCCTTTCCTCAAAAGACACTAGATGGATTGACTTGTGTCCCCCGCAAAATATATGTTGTAAATCCTAATCTCTTATATCTGTGGGTGTGGTCCCATTTGGGAATAGGACTTTCTTTGTTATGTTAATGAGACCATGTCAGTGTTGGGTGTGTTTTAAGCCAATCACCTTTGAGATATAAAAAGAGCAGATTAGGCACAGAGAAGGAAGAACAAACGGAGGGGAAGATACATGCCACATGAGGATTGCCAAGGAGCCAAGGAACAGAAGCTGAAGAGACAAGGACCTTCCCCCAGAGCTGACAGAGAGAGGAAGCCTTCCCCTAGAGTTGGCACCCTAAATTCAGACTTCTAGCCTCCTGAACTGTGAGAAAATAGATTTCTGTTCCTTAAAACCACCCACTTAGGGTATTTCTGTTACAGCAGCACTAGGTGACTAAGACAGCCACTCTGCTCTGTAGCTCCTGACAGTGCTTGTAGGAAGTTCAGAGCAGACCCTCCGGACTCTCTCCTCCCTGAGTTTCTGCTCCGGCCGCAGACCTGCCAGTCCCCTGAGTGTGCTGTGAGTCTGTAGGAGGTACCCCCTCCCTGTGCACCAGCCTCACCAGTCCTTCCCCTTTATTTAGGTCCCCTTCTTTCCAAGGTGCCCCTGTTCCAGTCCACAGTGTTTCCGAGAAGCACCCTTTATGTTTCCCAGACTTGGTGGCCACCACAATCTGATTCTGTCTCCAGGCACTTCATGGATGTTAACTGTAGTACCGCCTCGATCCAAAAGAGGAATCCACTGCTTTTGAACTGCCCTGGGCATCTCCATGCCCAAGAATCTGTTCTAGCTATCGAGGCTGTCCCTCTTTACCCTGGTACCCAGGCAGCCTCCCCACTGCCTTTCACAGCCCAGGATCAATAAGGGCTCTTGCCTTCTTCCTGTCCTGTAATTCTACCTGTCAAAGTGCCCTCCTACTCCTCAGCTCCCCTCTGTCACCTGTAGCCCAAGCCTGACCATCACATGATTCTGGGTCCCCGGGCTCCCCCCATGGCTTGGCTCCAGCCTGTTCTCCCCGCTGCAGCCCAATGGTCCTGTACAGCTCAGAGCTCACCCTGCCTTCCTCTGCTTATACCCTGCTGCTCATCTGTCTGAGAGACATCCTGAGCCTTCTTGCTCTGGCTCCCCAAGCCTCAGCCACACCTTTTCTTCTTCCAGTTTTTCCAAAGGCCAGATCTCTTCCTTCCCTGGGGCGTTTGCACATGTTGAGCCTCCAGCCAACTCCACTTAGTCACTTCCTGGGGATGCCTTCCCTGTCCCCCCAGGGCTATGTCAGGCTCCCAGCTGCATCCTCAGGGCACCTTGTTCTTACCTGTTCGTTACCCTGGGGGATGACTTGAGTACTGTCTGTCTCCCTCACTCCCTGTGACTCCCCTTATCACAAGCTTATCTGTGTGTGTCTCTTTTGCTCACCTCTGTATGCTCAATACCTATCACAGAGCCTGGCCAGAAATAGATGGCCAGTCATTTGTTCAGTGAATGAGTGACCTTCCATGCCTTCTAAAGAGCTGTTCCCTATGCCTACGATGCCCTTCCCCTTCTTCTCTGCCAACAAACTCCTATTCATCCTTCAAGACCCAGCATCTTCCCCAAGTGCCCTTGGCAGCTAGTCCCTCCCTTGCTGTGTGTTCTCGCAGAGCATTGCACGCCTGGGACTTTTTTTCCTCCTGCCTCTGAGCTCCTCAGGGAGAGTGCTTGGCACAATATAGCACATGTGGTTGGCACTCATGAAGTGTTTATGTCTTAACCTGATCTCTCCTTTTGACCCATCATCTCGTATTATTTGGTTGTTTTCTGTTTGTCTTGTGTAGTGTGGCTTCCTCAGCCATTTGGTCAGCTCCTGGAAGACAGGCCCAGGGACTTTGAGCCTCAGTTTCCTCCTCTGTAAATTGGGAACATTGACCTGATGATTATAAAGTGGCAGATAGAACAGCTGGCTGTGAATCCCTGGACAGTCCCCATCCTTTTGACTCCTTTCCCTTAAAGTCCTTCTCTGCTTCTTGGAAGGGTTCAAGCCCTGTAGATAGTAGAACGATAATAGGCTGTCATGATCGTTGAAGTAATTGAAGCCCTTCTGACCTGGGAGAAAGCTGGCTCTTTTCATCTCTTTTTGAAGGAATGTGGGGACTGGGGTGGAAAGTTCCCCAGGGTTCCTTGGTATTTCAGTGCTTTGATACCTAGAGGAATGAGAAGAGCAATTAATTGCTGTTGATGGTCTATTCCTGGAGGGGGTAGTTTGATGGGGATAGGGGTGGCATTGGTGAGTGATATCTCCTCCATCCCAGGGCCATCTGCTGGTTGAAGGGATACACAGAAAAGAGACTCAGAGATTTGGAGTGGTATCTACCATTAGGGGAGGCTTTTGAAACCTCACTTTCTCTGGAAAACACGTTTCGCTCAGCCCCTTGGGTAAGCGAGCAGCTTTCTCTGCAGACATTATGGAAGACAGCGGAAAAGGGATTTCAGCATTTTCCTTGGCCTTGCACCTCCCTCAGAACAGATTTCTCAAAATGTGGCGCACAGACCTCCAGCCCCAGAGTCATCTGAGGCCGAGTGTTTTAAATGCAGATTTTCAGGCCTGCCTCAGACCTCTGTCTTTATTGGGGGGCTGAGAGCTGGTTGCTCTCTCAGCCATGTCTCTGGGTGGTGTGTAGGGTTATGAGGTCTGCGTGCCACATGGAGAAAGTGGCGCAGGCTGGAGCAGGTGGGCAAGACTCCTTGGCTGCCCTGGCCTGCCTCTTCTGTGCTTTCAACCTGTTCTCAGAGGACTTCTGGGGAAGCAGAGGGCAGCCACAGCCCCCCACATCCCTGTTAGATTATGCTGCGAATGTGACCCAAGCAGTGAGATTGTCTGTGGAAGGCAGAAGAAAAGAACATTGTACTCTTTGATTTCTGGAAGAGGTGTGTTTGGGACAAGTAGGCGTGTAGCCAGGCTAGTAGATTTGTAAATTAGCTGCAAATATGTTTTATGTGTCCCTGGGGGGTGCAAATGGTTAATGTGCTTGGCTGCTAACTGAAAAGTTGGCAGTTCAAGTCCACCCAGAGGTGTCTCGAAGAAAGGTCTGAAGATCTGCTTCTAAAAACTCAGCCATTGAAATCCCTATGGAGCCCAGTTCAACTCTGACACACGTGGGGTCACCATGAATTGGAATGGACTCAATGGCAGCTGGTTTGGTGTTTTGGTTTTTGGTGTTTTATGTGTGTGTATGATGTGTCTGTGTTCGTTTGTGTTACATTTACAACTGCAGATATTCATTAAGCACACAGACACACTTACATGAAATACCTGAGCCCAGAGAAAGTGGAGCTCCACGTATCTGGGCCTCCATGTCATGTTCTGTCTGGTAGGTGGAATGCCATCTCATCCAGGTGTGGAACCTGCCCGTCCTCGAATGATTCATTCTGGTCCACAGAGTCTCTGAGCACAGCCCGTCAATTAGCAGTGGTGACTAACTGGGGGAGGACGTGTGCAGTGTTGAGCAGGCTGACCTGCTTTGGCAGGAAATGGCAAGCAAGCTTAGCTGCAGTCAGCACCTTCTCCCAGAGGTGTTGGTGCAGGTTCCCCAGGCTGGCCTGACACACAGGTATTTCTGGACCATGGTGGAGCCCATTGCCATGAGCTTCCCGCCACCATGTCTGGTCCATCAGCGTGGGGCGTGGGCTCTGGCTTGACCCTGGCAGCCGTCGGGACCCTCCTAGATCTTCCCATGACTCGTGTTCTTTGTTTCCACAGGGTGGCACCTTCCTATTTCTCCCTGGCCACTGCCCTCCCTGTCACAGTTGAGCACCTGTTTGCCTGAAGTTAATTTCCAGAAGCAGGTAAGGACTGAGGGAAAGGGCTCTTCAGCTGGTTCTAGAACAGTGTTGGGAAGGGGCCTGGGCTCTCAGATGCCAGGCTCAAGGGCTGACCACGGAGTTAACTCCTCTTGTTTCCTTTCTCCATTGTTCCCAAGCATTACTGGGTGTGTGTGTGGGTTCTCAGGTGTGTGGGTTCTCAGGGTGAATGGTATGGTGCTGCTGATTTGGTTTAGCTGTTAGAACATGTGCATATTTGATATAAGCTCTGTAAATCACACATCTGTATTACATTGTATTTGTGCGCAACGTTACATTGTAAATATAACAGAATATAAATACATGTTTTTAAATGCAAGCATTTAAAATATACCACGATTTTAAAACAGATGACAAAAGACAAGTGCTGGGACCCCTGGGGCAGAGGTGATGTGTGTATCTGAAGGATTCCCCTTGCTATCTGGTCCAGCCTGAGGTTACTTGATACCAGTCTAGCAGGTGCAAGACCACCATGGGTATAAGTGTATTTCCTAATTTATATAAATGTAGGTAGGTGTTCAACAGCATTAGCTTCAACCTTATAAATCAAAATGAGTGCAGGTGGCTGTTTGTATTCAGGACCACACGTGCTGTCAGAAGGGCCAGCTTCCAAAGCTGTTTACCAGAATGGGTTGTGTTTCCCAGATGGGAGAGACCCAGGCTAGCAACCTAAGCCTCTGACTGCTGCATGATTGCAATATTCAACGGTCATTCGGGCCCCTCCTCTCCTTATCTCCCAATCCTTCTAAAGTGAGGTCAACTGTTTAAAAGCTGGCGGTCACATATTAATAGAGATTAGGTCCCCGCCAAAGCTGGACAGGAGCATGACATCTGAGGACACCTCTTACAAATGACCTCCAATATCCCCCAGAGAACGCAACTTGGCCTCTCATGCCTAGGGCCTGTTTGCCACTTTGTATCGATCTGCACAGTGCTTGGAAGCCACTTCCTCACTGTTCTTCCCTGACCACCTGAATTTCCTCCAACAGAATTGACAGGAGACTGTGGGGACAGTATGGGGTGCATTTGTGTGTCGGAAATGAATTCTTGTACCTCGGTATCTCTTAATTGCCTTTTCCGCAATAAGATACAATTTTCTGGGATTGTACCCTCTTTTCATATAACGTGTAGCCGTCCATGGCACACTATATAGCGACCAACCTCCCCCCTCACCATTTGCTTGGATAGTTGATGGTTGCCTGTTCTCACCTCCTCCATTTTCCTTTCCCTAGTCAACTTCTTGGAGCCCTGGTGGCACAGTGGTTAGGAGCTAGGCTGCTAACCAAAAGATCGGCAGTTCAAATCCATCAGCTGCTCCTTGGAAACCAAGATGGGACAGTTCTACTCTGTCCTATAGGGTCACTATGAGTTGGAATCGACTCGATGGCAAAAGGTTTTTAGTCAGCTTCTAGAATGTTATGTTTTGAGAGAGAGGGAGTCTTCTGTCTCTGACTTGGGCAGTAACACGGAGAGACTTCCTTCAGTTTCAGAGTGGAGGCACCACTAGTTTTCAAGTGAGGGGATGATGGTAGGGACAGCTGGGAGACTAGCAAGAAGTGACCTTACTCTCGGATCGTCCCCAGAGAGTCGCATGAATAAGTGTGTCCAAATTAGTTGCAGTTTGAATTTATGTAGTTTAAACGCATTTTAATTGAGACTGGTTCTTGCTGCCTACAGGGGAGAATAAGAATTCTCAAGTGAAGTTAATCTGATGCCTGTCAGAACTGTGATGCAAATTGAGAGCATGTTTGCTTGCCTAGGTAGCACCCCAAACGCACTTTAACACACCTGTAGCACAGCAGCCACTGAAATGTCTGCGTTGTTCGTGTCGATTATGATTTATTCTATTCTGTTGTTAATTTTCCTCCTGTTCATACCCTTGCTGCAGGTTCTGTTTCAGACAGAATTATCTAAACCAGCCATAATGTTTCTAGTCCGTTTGGATTGAAGTATGAAGGGCGGGAATTTGTGCTTATGGGCTGCCCTGGGCGACTCCTCTCTGTTAGGCAGCAGAGTGCTGTCAGCTCATAGCTGAAGCTAGAAGAACACTAGACAACCAGAAAATTTAGAAATTACATGTTAAGAGTATTCCTGAAGCAAGAAGAGCCAGCTTAAGAAATGGTCTCTGCCAGGGAAGCGTGTTGAAGTGAGAGTAATCTGGCTCCAAATGCCTACCCAGGTACCTGCTCAGGCACCCAGTTATACCCCAGGCCCAGCAAGCCTCCTGCCCATTTATAACGTGAGGTATCAGAGGCCCTGGGGGCTGTGAGAACTCAATAGGATACCCAGGAGAAGGCATCCCGTAGGTAGGGGTTATTTGACAAACCAAAATTTCTGCTCTGAAAGATATCTAAAAATGTAACATGATTCAGTAATGTAGAATAGACATCTCCTCTGTGAGCACCTATTGTGTGCCAGGACCCCCAGGTAGGTCCTGGGGATGTGTCTGAGGGAAATACACACCCTTGCCTGGGTAGAGCTGGTGTTCTGTATGAACAAGTAGATCTTGCTCTGGGTCCTGGGACTGGAGCATGGCTTCTGATACCTGAACCAGGGCAGGTGTAATATGTGTTCCACCTCAGGTGTCCACTGTGGGCTGAGGATTGGCCTGCTTGAACCGGACGGAAAGTTCCCTCCGTGAGCCTGTTGTGGTGGGGGTGGGGGGGCCCGACATGCATTGGAACTCTGGTTCTTTTGTGTGTGGTGACATCTAGTGTCTGGTCGCTTGTATTTCACATTCATAAACCAAAAATAAACCCGGTGCCTTTGAGTCGATTCCGAGTCTATAGAACAGAGTAGAACTGCCCCATAGGGTGTCCAAGGAGCAGCTGGTGGATTCGAACTGCCAACCTTTTGGTTGGCAGCCATAGGTAGCTTTTAACCACCAGGGCTCCCACACTCATAAGGAGAAAGCAAATGAAAACTAGCCCTTCGTCATAATACAGAATTGGAAGAATTTTGCTCCTGGAATGCCTGGTTCTCTGTTTGAAGGCTTTACAGAGCACTTCAGATGCCCTTTGGAGAACACGGGAGTCCCTGGTGGTGCAAACCGTTAATGCACTTGGCTGCTAACCGAAAGGTTGGAGATTTGAGTTCACCCAGAGGCACCTGGGAAGAAAGGTGTGGCATACACTTCTCAAAAATCAGCCACTGACAACTCCGTGGAGCACAGTTCTACTCCACACATGGGGTCACCAGGAGTTGGAGTCGACTGGAGCTCGAAGACGACTGATAACTGGTTTAGATAACGTGATCATCCAAGGAGGGAGCTCTGGTGGCACCGTGGTTAAAGCATTTGTCTGCTAACTGAAAGATGGTTGTTGTTGTTAGGTGCTATTGAGTCGATTCTGACTCACAGAGACCCTACATAGGACAGAACCGAAAGGTAGGCAGTTCGAACCCACCAGCTGCTCCATGGGAGAAAGATGTGACAGTCTGCTTCTGTAAAATTTACATCCTTGGAAACCCTATGGGGCTGTTCTACTCTGTCCTGCAGGGTCCCTATGAGTCAGAATCGACTCAGCGGCAGCGGGTTTTTGATTGGATCGTCCAAGGCACATGCAATTGCTCAGGAACAAGAGTCCTTTGAGAAAGCTAAATTTGGTTATGGGAGACTGGACCAGGCACTTTGGTCTCTTAACATGATGATGTGATCCTGAATTGATGCAGATATTGTAGGGAAGGGGCTGTCTCCATATTCCATTCCGCCAACGAGGAAGCAGCACTATCACTTAGCACCCGCCGGGCCTGCTGCTGGCATGGGAACACTATGTCAGTCACGATGTCAGGGGAGGCTTTTCTGGGAAGACAGCCTCAACCTGGGACCTGAAGGATGAAAAGGAGCCAGTTCCAGGCTGAGGGGTCACCCAGTGCACAGGCTTCCGGGAGAAAAGAGCTGCTTGGAAGAAGTTCCATTTCAGTTCTAGAAATAGAAGGCAGAGTGATAAGGGGAAACATGAGGAGAAGCCAGGATGGAGAGAGAGAGAGAGGCAGGGCCGGGACTCCAGGGCTTGGAAAGGCCCTGGCAAGGGCCTGAAATTTATTCCAAGGTAGCATTTAAAGCAGAAAAGGGATGTCAGCTGTTGTTGTTTTTTTTTTTCCCAAACTAAAGATTATTCCAGCTACTGGATAGAAAAAAGTACGAGAAGTGGGGCGAGGAGCGTGGTGGCTGTGGGGAGGAGATGGAGAGCTGTTCCCCTGGGCTGCAGTGCAGGTTTACCCACAGGGCTGCAGGCGATGCGTGGAAGCCTGAGTTCAGCTGTAGACTGTTGAGCGTGTGGGGAGGTGGAGCAGAAGGCAGTGAGAAATGGGATGAGAACAGGTCGACATGAGGAGTTGTCGTCCTAGAGCCAAGCTGCTTTTTGGCTCAGCTGTGCTAGGAGCTCAGAGTCAGCCACGGCCTCTTGTCGGAGAGAAATGACTCCATTTCCCAGTTGTTAATCAGCCCTTTTCTGGGCCTGGGCAGAGGGGGAAGGGGACAGGAAGTAGACTAAGAGGAGACCCAGGGTGGTGCAAACGATTAAAAAGGTTGGAGGTTCAAGTCCACTCAGAGATATCTCAGAAGAAAGGCCTGGCAACCTACTTCTGAAAAAGCAGCCGTTGAGAACCCTATGGAGTGCAGTTCTACTCTGGCACCCATGGAGTTGCCATGCGTCAGAATTGCCAGCAACTGGCTGGCTTGGGCTTGTGGAGAGGAGACCCAGCCACCACACACACATACACGCATAAAACACACACACACATACACACTCCTTAAGCCCTGACTTGCCAGTTTTACAATCTGTTGTGTGGCTTTTAGGGCAAGGGCCCCATTAGCTTATGAGGAGGAGCAGTTGACAAAGTTTCTATCAGGAGGCTCTCCACCCTTTGCCAGGAGAGCTGCCTGGCCCGGGAGAGCCTGCCCGTCCAGAGCTCTGTGGGATGCCCGGGTGTGAGGCGCCCTTGGCCCGCCAGCTCGGTCCCTTGGTCCTCCAAGTGCAGCTCCTTGGCACCAGGGCTGATCAGGCTCCACCCCCACCAGCTGCTGCGTTATTTCTGACTCATCCAGGAGTTACAAGTGTGTAACCAAATCCCTCCACACACGGCTTCCTCCCCTCTGGCCCCTCCTGGAGGGAGGACACTCAGAGCTTCTCTCCTGGCACCTTTCTGAGTGTTGGGTCCCTGGTGCACCTGGACCCAGCTGCTGGTCTTCACAGCCGCCTGCGGAGTCGCCCTTGGACAGGTGGGGTGGGCTGTGAGGGCGGTGTGGCGAGTCGGGGAGGGTGCCCATGCCCTGCAGCCCTGGGCTAGCCTCTCCCCACTGAGGGACTCCCTGGAGCGCAGCCCAGGAGCTGGCCTCTTGCTGAGGGAGCCGTCTCGGGGATTGGGGGCTGGGTGCTGCTCTCGAGGTTTCTCAAGCCAAAGGCCCAACCAGCTGCCACTGGTCATGTCACTTTTCTTCCCTGTGGAAGTTGCTGGCTTTGAAAACCGAGGACTCCACGGGCTTCTTGCACCACATCCCTGACTGGGGAGAGTGACCTGCAGGCAGGAGCCTGTGGAGAGGCTGACTGGAAGTCATAGCTGGCCTGAACCTGGGCCCCTCAGTCCCCTGGGCCCCACAGCTCCACTCACAGAGACGCAGGCAGGCTGCCCCCTTCGGCTCCTGCTCGGTCTGGCTGGCTAGGGCAAAGTCACTCGCCCCTGCTCCAAGCTCTAAGGAGTGAGACCCGGAAGCGTCGTGCTACCTGATGATCCCTAGCAGAGCGCCCTGGCGTCCGGTGGGAAGGGCTCCCTGGGAAGGTGTGGGCCACCCAGGAGGTGTCTGTATCTTGTGTGTGTCTACCTGACCCCACCCCTCAATGCTGCTCCTCGCTCCGCAGGGATCCCCAGTGCTGGGCCAGGGTGATGAACCGTGAGGGGGCTCCCGGGAAGAGTCCGGAGGAGATGTACATCCAGCAGAAGGTCCGAGTCCTGCTCATGCTGCGGAAGATGGGCTCAAATGTGAGTGCCCCAAACTCTGCCCACAGAGGGGACTCACCATGCTGGGTGGGCAGGGGACTGCAACCGCCTTCCTGCAGCCACTGTGCTCAGGGGACAGTGCTGCTGGACCTGTGGGTGGCTCAAGGTGACCAGTCTTCCCACCCCCATAGTCCTGACCTTTCTTTTCTCTGTCTCCCAACCCCTGAGAGACTTCTCCCCCAGAGAGGCATTGGGGCAATTGGGAAGGCTGGCCATGGAGAGCCGAGCAAAGGGCAGCAGATGAGGAGGCATCTCAGAAAGAGCAGACTCAGCTGACTGTCACTCTAGGGAGGGCCCTGGGCTAGACTAGTTGTGTTCTCAGAGTCAAACAGAGTGGCAAGGCCCGTGGACCAAGTTTTGGAGGTGGGAGTAGGTGTGGGGGTACTGCTCTGGAACTGAAGGCTTTTGAGGCTGTTTGCCCCAGCCGCTGGGGGAGGGGCATTGACAGAGGTGGATTATCTAATAGGCAAGGTAAGCACAGTGCTTACCTTGCTTACCAGATCATCTGTAGTGAACAGTTTTGCATAGGTTTCACCACAAACCCATGTAAAATTGTTCACTACAGATTGGTAAATAAGCGCAAGTAAGCCCTTGCTTACCTTGCCTACTAGGTCATCCACCCCTGTCAGGGATTGTAAATTTGAAAGGAGGCTTTGATTCTGTAGGAAGGTGCTGTGGGGTAGGGAGAGAGACAGATGCCTGCTATACCTAGAAGCAGAGTCTTTGATGTGGTGAAGAAAAATGTGAAATTGTTCGGTACAGATGATCTGGTAAGCAAGATAAGGACCGTGCTTACCTTGCCTATTGGGTAATTCTCCCCTGGCCACTGCTCAGGGACCAAGGGTTCAAGGCGCAGGGCGGGGCCTTTGGGGAGCAGGTGCATGCGGCCCTCACCTGTGGCTCTCCCCACTTGCAGCTGACGGCCAGTGAGGAGGAGTTCCTGCGCACCTATGCAGGTGTGGTCAACAGCCAGCTCAGCCAGCTACCGCAGCACTCCATCGACCAGGGTAAGTCCAGCAGCGGCATCGAGTTGTGGCTCTTTTAGAAAGCAGCCCTCTTGGCTGGGCGGTGCACGAGAGAGAGATGTGGGGCAGACGGGGAGGGACCACAGCTCCCTTCTTCCCAGAGCTGGGTCCCCGGCAGCCACAGCCACATCCAGACACAGCCCCAGGAGCCTCTGGATCCTTCTGCCTGGAGTATCTCCTTCCCCAAGTAGAAGCCAAGGACCCAATCAGGCAGATGATGGGCTCCCTTCTAGGCCTGGAGAAGGCAAGAAACGGAAGGGCGCTGTGGTGCCCCATAACTGCTTAGGCTCTGGTTGTTGCGTTTCTTCAGCCTTTGGCCTCAGCAGTGCCCTGGCCCCTGCCTGCCCAGCACCCTTATGTGCTAGGACAGGGCTGTCACTGCTAGCCTGGCTATGGTTGGAAGGGATGCCTGAAGGTCCCGGAGGTCTCCTTGCATCCAGGGGCATTGAATGTGTTTTGGATGACTTCAATCAGTCATAATAATGATAATAGGTAACATTTATTGTTGTTGATATACTGAGTAGATTCTGACTCAGTGACCCCATGTGACACAGTAGAACTGCCCCACAGGTTTTTTTTATTTTAAATAGTATTTTATTGTGTTTTAGGTGAAAGTTTACACAGCAAATTAGTTCCCTTTTAACAATTTTTATACTAATTGTTCTATGCCATTGGTTACAATTTTTATAATGTGTCAACATTCTGATTATTCCCATTCTGTTTGTTCTGTTTCCATTGGTTTGGCTTCCTTTCCCCTCCTTGCCTTCTCATCTTTGCTTTTGGATAAATGTTGACCTTTGGTCTCATGTAGTTAATTGTTTAAGGGAGTACATACTAGCAGGTGATATTGTTTATTTTATAAGCCAATATATTATTTGGCTGAAAGGTGACCTATAAAAATAGCTTCAAATCCAAGTTCAAAGGTTATCTTAGGACAATATTTTTGGGGATTCCTCTAGTCTTCATTGGTCCAGTATGTCTGGCTTTTTTTTGGAATTTGAGTTTTGTTGTATATTTTTTCTCCCATTCTATCCAGGACCTTCTGTTGTGTCCCTGGTCAGAACAGTCAGTAGTGGTAGCTGGGCTCCGTCTAGTTCTGGTCTCAGGTTAGAGAAGGCTGTGGTTCATGTGACCTATTAGTGCGGCAGACTAGTTTCTTCTTTGAGCCTTTAATTACTTTCATTCTCTTTTGCTCCACCTGTAGGGTTTACTTGGCTGTAATCTTTATAGGAGCAAAACGCCAGGTCTTTCTCCTGCAGGTAATATTTATTGAGTGTTTTATTATGTAGCAGGCACTGAGTTAATGCTTGATCTGCATCATTTCATTTTAGATAACTACAATTTGTGTTGCCTCCATTTAATAGGTAAGAAAACGGGGATTTGGAAGTAGTAAGTCACCACCCTTGGTCACACAGCCGTTACTGGGGCCCAGGACACAAACCTGCAGCCTGACTGCAGAGCCAAGCTCTCAGCCACAAGAGCTGAGGCAGTGGGAGGCTGCAGGTCTGCTCCGTGATCCTTGGCAGCTACTCAGGGCTCTCCCTTTCTGGAGGACCCATCCTGACACTGCAGCCAGTCATCCTTCCCTTCTTTTATTCATTTTATGCTCAGCTGGAATTATTGGCCATAAGATATTCCAACCTCTGGCGTGTCCAGGCAAGAGTGGTTTCCCAGAAGCAGGGTGCTGACGGGCATGTCTGCTCATTGGCGTGGCCGGCAGGGCGAAGGGCAGGCCTGGCACGTAGGGGCTGCTTCTCTGGAAGCTCACTAGATTCACAGCCAACCCTTGTTCTCCTGGATGTCATGGGGTTCTGCCCTGGTGCAGGGGCTGGTTCCCGAGCTCGGATGCTGTGTGTGCTCCAGTCTGTGGACCCAACTCAGCACAAACTCCACCAGGTACTCCCATGCCTCAGGCCACTCCTGGGACAGCCACTAACCTCACAGCCTGCCCGGGCAAGTCTGCCCAGGAATGTCCACCTGTGCAGGTGCAGCCTTCGCAGGGGAGGGAGGTTCCGGGCATGGAGACTACTCCCGCCATCCTCTCAGGGTCTTTTCCCTTCCAGGGCTGACCTGGGTCCCTCGCCGTTGGCTCCTGAACCGTATCGGAAGTCCTCAGGCTTTTGAGTCCCCGGGGTATCATCTTTTCTCCCCATCTAGTCTTGGGCAGTTGCGTTAACCTAAATTAGAGCTGGGGTGGTAAGAATGCCTCTAGTAGAATGCTCTTAATGGAAAAAATCTAAATAAGCTGTAGAACAGCCTGTCAGTATAGAAAAAACCCAATAGCACATACACCCCCCACCCACATACTCACGCTTGTACGTGTATTAAAAAAAAAAAAGGCTAAAAGAGTATTTTATAGGAGGCAGGACCATAAGAGTTTCACCTCCCAAGTTATACATTTTTGTAAACTAATTTGTTTAACATTGCAGAAGTGCCTCTTTTGTAATAAGGGAAAATTTAAAAAATTATGGGTACCTGAGTGGCACAAATGATTAAGTGCTCAGCTACTAACTGAAAGGGTTGTGGTTAGGGTTTACTCAGAGGTGTCTCAGAAGAAAGGTCTGGCAGTCTGCTTCCAAAAAATCAGCCATTGAAAACCCTGTGGAGCGCAGTACTACTCTGACACACATGGGGTTGCCATGAGTTAGAATCAACTCGATGGCAACTAGTTTGGTTTTTAAAAAATATGTTTTTAAATAAACTCTTTTTTATGTTGCTGAGCTAAACCAACAGTTGAGGATAAAAATGAGCTCCACCAAGTTGTTTGAGAAGGTCATGGTGACCTCACCTAGCTGTTGATCTGGCCTTGAAACTGCTGAGCAGACATATGTGAACAAGTGCGCTTCAGAACCCAGCCCTCCTGGACGTGGGGTGTCTGTGCGGCCAAGCCCAACTTCCCTCTTGGGGGCGGGGAGGGAGGCTCCTGGAGCTGACCCTGGAGCCAGGGAGGCTGGGAAGAATGTATGGGGAGGTGGGTGTAGTGGACATGGTCCTTTCTGCTGGGCGCAGCATGGGCTGCCTGGCTGCCAAGGCCTGACCTGCAGGGAAAGCTAGGCGACACAGGAGGTTCTGAGGACCCCTGTGGACTGAGTGGGGGAGGGGAGGGGGCAGCCTGATGTGCGAGAGTGTCCTGAGCATACTGCTATTTTCTTTTTGTGCCTAAAGACAGCACAAACAAACACAAAAACAATGACAACCAAATGGTCATCAGACCAGTATCTCCACTCTAGGAGTGCAAGCCTGGGAGCAGGCCTGAGAATTTTCTTTCCGAGCCTTGGGGCTTCAGTGGATCTCTACTAAAATTCTATTCTGGCCAACCTGCAGGAGACGCTGGGTGTTGTCTCAGCTGATGCTGCAGGGCATGCTGGTGTCAGAGGCTCAGGTGCTGCCCAGGTGGCAAAAGCCATGGATTCTTGCTTCCAGTGCACGGGGAGGAGGCAGGGACTTCCACATGAAAGGCCCCCCTAAAGCCCAGGCAGCCAGTGGGATGATGGTCTGGCAGAAGCCTGGCATGAGCGTCTCCTGCCCACTAGGTGGCACTGTCTTTCAGCAAATTCCCCATTCTCTCTTCTACCTGTGCTGGTAATTTTTCCATCTGCAACTCTTCCTTGTGCTGAAGAAATGTTCCCTGGGACTGAAAAATGTCTCCTACTCCCAGACTCCCCTACGTGGGAGACCTGAGGCTGCCCCACCAACACGACAGCACTCGACATTGATCTTAGACTGCAGCACACTTCCCCTCTAGGGCCCAGGGGGCACTGGGATGCTGCTTTGCCTTCCCTGAGACCCTGGGGGATTTGGGGCTGGCTTGGGGTCTGTTCTTGTGCTGCTGGCTCTTGTGCCCTGGCCCTCCCCCATGGCCCATTCTGTCAAGCACCTTCTAGGTACCAAGTAGTGTGCCAGGAGTGGGGGACCCACAGTCAAGCCTGCATGGGCCTGTACTCCAGGGATTACTAAACATTTTAGCAGAGGCCTGGAGGCCTCCCGAGCACTAAGGGGGACCCTTCTCAGTCCTCAGCCTGCCTGGCTGCTCTGCTAGCCTGAGACCATCAGTGACAGCCTCTTTCTAGAAGCCCACTTTTCCTCCCTTGGGCTCTGTCTGTCTCTCTCCCTCCTTTCTCTTCACCCTCCTCTCATTTTCTGCCTACCTCTGCCTAGTCTCCTCTTTCCCCTTAATACATGCTGCTGTTCCCCAGATTCCGTACTCCTGTGACTTCAACAGTGAGCTCTAGTCACCAGCACCTTCTGAACACAGACCCTCAGCCTAGACCCCCTCCTGACCCCTGACCTCTATGTACAACTGTCTATTGGACATCTTGCCACAGGTACTGCACAGATACCCCAAACTCAGCAGTCCGGATTTATAACCTCTCCCCTCTATTCTCTGCTGTGACCAGTGTGCCACCAAATACCCAGTATCACGGGGGACTCAACCCTTGAGTCGTCTCTTCCCCTAATATCCAATAATTTACCAAGTCCTTTTTTTTTTTCTTCTTATGTACTTTATATGAAGGTTTACAGAGTAAATTAGCTTCTCATTAAACAATTAATAAACATATTGTTTTGTGACATTGGTTGCCAACCCCACGACATGTCAACACTCTCTTCTGGACCTTGGGTTCCCCACTACCAGCTTTCCTGTCCCCATATGCCTTCTTGTGCTTGCCCCTGGGCTGGTGTGCCCGTTTAGTCTCATTTTGTTTTATGGGCCTGTCTAATTTTTGGCTGAAGGTGAACCTCTGGAGTGACTTCAGTACTGAGTTAAAAGAGTGTCTGGAGAGTTACCAAGTCCTTTTGATTGTCCTGCCTTAATGTACCCCAAGTCTGCTTCCTCTTCTCCATGTTGATCTGAACCCCCGTTTTGGTTTGACCCCACATTAATTCTTGTCTATTGTTGTTAGTTGCTGTCAGTTCTGTCTCATGGCAACCTCATGTGTGAGATGGCTGCAAATAGCTCCTCGCTGGCATCTTGACTTCTCGTC